TCTTCAGCTGTCACTGGATCTCCTGTGAACAATTAAAGATTCTAAATTAATACAAATCAGAACAAGCCACAGTTTTTTTACACTAAAAATAATCTTCTTAGTAATTACATTTTTGGCATCCACTATTACTGAACTTTATTTAGTTAAGAAAATTCTAAAAGCATTTTCAACATTTTCTTAGCAGACACTAAATCAGAATTTCCAATTGCTACAATATCACATAAAAAGTCTATTTAAAATTAATTTTAGTCCATGTCTTGACAGAGCAATTTCTCATTGCTCAACTTCCTAGTACCAGCACTGTTCTTCACAGTGCAGAAACAATTAAAAATATACAGAGTCACATCAGCATTCTGTTGAGTCCCACTTGTTCCAGCAAATAAAACAAGGTTGTTTGACAGTCACAGATACTGCTTAATCTTTCTGGACAAATAAAAGCCAGTAAATCTAAGCATTATATTTCATTTTGCACAATATTGTGGGATTTATTTTAATAAAATGAACTCTAAGGCCTAACTGATTGGTTTCCATCTGTAATTTAGAGAAAGATTTTCAAAGGCATGAAAGCCTATTAAGAACACATTTAATTGATTTTTGCAGGTCTCGATACAGCATTTACTGCAGTCAGCAGTGAAATTTCCATTGATTTAAATAAGAACAGGTTCAAACCTGCAGAGACCTAGCTGCTATTTATGCATTGCACAGTAGCCCCTCCATAGCTAGAGATTTCTTCCCTTTGTTTTAGTAAAAATAACCTACATGCTTTTGTACATACACTCAGTACCATTTACTTCATAAATAAATAAATAAGTCACATTTCCAAAGGTAATGAAAGTTTTAACACTGAAGACTGAACAGAGTGCAACTGCCATTCAGTTTTATGATGCCTCTCTTTACTGAAGTCAATGGCATTATTTATGAGTAAAACAACCAAAATGTTGAATATGTACTTACTAGAAGTAAGAGAAGATTACTTAAACAAGTTTGAGTAATTATACATAGAACTATTGTGTTACTGCTGCAAAAGTGAGGGAAATGTTATCAAATATTCAATTCTATCAATAAATGAAACACTGATTTCATTCTGGTTTATTTAGCAGAATAAAGAAATGCAACAGAATATTTTTAAACCATTCCTGTCTAAGAAATAAGGCTTTTCAGAGAATTGTCTCACTGATACATGCAAAGATCAAAAAGGGGTGGTGATGTTAGCATTCCAATTTCATTTAGATGAAACAATAAGATAATTAGGTGTAAAAAATGCACAGTCTTATGTTCAATGCAGTAAAGGATCAATTTCATCTAAAGGCAAGTGGAGTGTGCACTATATCATCTGATCCAAAGGAGTGACCTTCTTGATTCAAATGCAAAATGCCTGTGCCTATTGCAGATGGAATTTACCAGGACAAAATGTTCAATAGAAAGATTACATTTCCACTGGGGCAGAAAGGTATTTGTCAGTGTCTCATTACAGCTGTGATACAAACATCTTGGATTTCAATTAGCTTTGAGATAGAACAATAATCCAGCACTGAAACTGCAGACAAACCTTTGTTTCTTACACCATTATATGTGGATTTTTGTTTCATTTGCAATAAGATATTGTAAGATTTCCAAAAGAAATAAATAGAAGTAAATAACACTCCAGCCATTTTAATGTCAGCAGTATCACTAAGTGATTGTCTGTCTGATAACTCTGCACTAGGAGGCGAGGGTGACATAATTTACATTTTTTCCAGCATAAATGAAAAGTGCTGAATTCTTTGAACCATAAGTGTCCCATCAGTTCTTCTACCCTCACTGTCCCACCTCCTATTATTAACACAGCATATCCACTCTGATGCTTTTGATCCTTTTCTATGAAAAGTAGTTTGCCTTCCCCATGGAAATAAATATGAAATTGGCTTTAGTGCATATCAGGAGTTCAAACAACAGCCCATAATAATTTCTACCCTATCGAGGTCATGTTTTAACTTCACAAACCTAGAGCTTGCCTCCACTTAAAATGCTTACTTCTAAATACTGTTTGATATTTAAGAAAACTTGTTTTTTCTGAACTGATCGTGGGACTAAGAGAAGGAAGGGCAATTTTTAACCATCACTTGAACTTCTGTGACTGATCTTGAGTTAACTCCTATAAAACTCTGTATAGTGTTTGTCACCTTTACTTCACACCTGTGTCACAAGGATAACTGTCAGCTTCTGAAATGTGGCAGGAAGAAAGGCTCAGAAACCACATAGGCATGATTCAGGTGTTAATTTCCTTGTTAGGATGAAAGTCATGAACTATTCCATGCAGATATGATTTTAATAACACTCCAAATTATACACTGTGCCTTCCACTCAAAAGACTTCCTTTCAAATATCAAATCACATAGCTTTAGCAGAATCTTATGTGTGTATATATATATGTGTGTGTGTGTGTGTGTGTGTGAATTTGTACAGACCTAAGTAAGCGTCCATGTTTCCCATCACACATGGTTTTGAGAGTCAAGAAATCCAAATTTTTCTTCAATAAATGCTTTCCAGCATAGGTGTCATCTCACAGGTCTTGACAGATGTTAGTGTTCATCTTTCCATTGAGTCAAATCTCCTTTCTGCTCAAGTGCTTTGTAAATGTGGAGCTTGGCTTCTGCTAGTAATAACTGCATTTTCAACTATCTACTGCCTTGCAACTTATGTTAAAAGCAAAGATTTAAGCTAAGAAGTAGGAGATATAGTGAGAAAAATTTTATATGAAAAATTGATGCTTATGTCTTGGCTTCATAGTTTAGCTGCAATCTGAAGTCATGTAATTTTTCAGGGCTTCTTCCAACACATTGGCAAGTTTCTTATGAAAGAACTAGAAAAGGAACAAATTCTATTTCTGTTTTCAGAAAAATGACTCCATGGCCCCAGTCTTTATTGAATAGAGCTGACTGCTGCTGTGAGTCAGTGACTCAACCAAGCTCATAACAATGTGAAAATACTAAAATTTAACTGTTAGAGCTAACAGTTACAATAGAAAAAAACCAACACACTTTCTGTCTCCTTATTTACCCTCTGATCTTTTTGGCTAGTAATGCTAACATAATCCACACAAAAGAATCTGTTGTCATCCTAACAAATATCCAAACGTATTCTCCTCTTTAGATGAGTACACAAACTTCCTTTAAGGTCAGTGGGAAACAGCTGCACAAATGAGGGCAGAATATAGCCTAGCACACAATACATCTGGAAATAGCTCCCTTGGGCTGATCTCCTGGCAGTGCTCATAAACCCTCTCAAACAGTGCAGGTTTTGGTGAATTACAGCATCCATTAAGAAGCTCTCATTATCTCCTGTCTCAACCACGTAACAGAAAAAAATTGAGAGTGCCATATGCAGACCACACTGAGGAGGGAGAACCTGGAAATTTTCAGCTGATAAACCTATTTTCTATAGTGCTTGGCAGGGAATCACCCTCAAGTGCTGGACCATCCACTAGTGGATGTTTTGTGCTAAAAGTTACCAGACTGCAAAAGGGTTTTCCTGGCAGAAAGGACCCACCATTCATCATCACCTCATTTTGACATGACAGAAAAGAAAAATGTCCATCTAGCAGGAACAGGAAAGAGAGGAGAAACTCTTACAAAATGTATGAAGGTTATTCAATTATCAGAAGCCATCTAAACAACAGAGGGTTTTTCTAAACTTTTTAAGGTACAGTACGAACCCCGACTCACATGGAATGCTACAGTGGAATAAATAATCAACACTGATTACTGCAGCAATTGAAGTTTTCCTAGCAGCTATCCCAGTAAAGTACCAACCAACCCGTTCAGGTTATTATTCCTAACAGGACTGCTACAAAGCCAGTGTTCGTCAGGACAAGTTTCAAAAATACACTCACCAGGCATAACTATTTGTAGATCCAGTCATTGCAAGTAAATTATTCCAATTCTGTAATAGCAGAACATTTAACCTGCTCTGGAGTTATTGCCTCTAAAAGCTTTGTTTCATAGGGTGCTGTGAGCACACACTCCACTCGAACTACAGCAATCTTCCCCATAATTCTGCTTTGGTAAGCACAGCCCTGGCAGAGCAGCAGGCTGGGGGACCCTGCACCTCACTGAGACAGAGGCCAGCAGCACCTGCCCAGCAGTTACCAAAAACAGGTACAGGACTTTGATACAGGATACAAATCACAGCACACTTATTTGTTTAGGACGAGTGGGAAACAGCAGAGTCAGCTGCTGCCAGTTTGGAGCTGTATCAAAACGAGCTGTGCAAGCTCCCTCCCGCCCCACGCTCACGAAGGGAGCTGTGATGTCGCCAGGGCAGCCCAGCGCCACCGGCTGCCGCGCAGTGTGTCTGTCACAGAGCGGCTGCGGGGGCCATTTTGTCACCGCTCACACCGCACCAGGCCTTTATACTCGGTATCCCCGGTCACTGCAGGGGTTGTGGTTACCGGCCGCGCGTGGGCCCCGCGCTTAAAACCACACAGTTCCACCCACACGACTGGTTTTCCCGCTCGGCTGCGGGAGGGGCCTAGCGTGGATCGTCCCTCACTGCCCGGAAGGCAAAGCAGAGGCGAGGGCGCGGTCCCGCACAGGGATGCCGCCTCGGCCCGCTCTGCCCCGCCCGGCCGCTGCCGAGCCGTCCGTGAGGGGAGCTCGATGCGCTCCCGCCGTCAGCGAACCGGGCACGGCGCGCATGCGCGCACGCACTCCACGGCAGGAGGGGGCGCTCGCTCCCCGCGCCCTGCGGGCACCGAGCACAGGCTGCTAGAGCGTCCCCACTCCGAAAGACTACGAGTCCCATCATGCAGCGCGCGGCCACGCCCGGGGAGCGCCGGCGACGTGATCCATTCACCGGTGCGCGCTGCATGCTGGGTGTCGTTGTTCTCCAGCTGGCTTCGCTCGCCAGGGACCAGCGGGAGGGGTGTGGCGCCGGGACTCGGGAACCGCCCTGTTCTTGTGTCTCTTCGCGCTCGTTCTCCGTGTTAATTCTTTTCCGACTGCCGGCCCTTACGGTGCGGATGAGTGGGGCATTGGGTGTTTTACTGCACAGATCTCAGTGTCCTTCTGCAGTTCCCGTAGATTTCCACGCATTCTGCAACGCCTTCGAAGCTGGTTTGACCCTCGGCGTCTGCCGTCGGCAGCCGCCTGCCAGCTGTCGGCGCCTTTGTGCGGCGGCGGAAGGGGCGCGGGGCGAGGGCGGCGAGAGCGGGGCAGGAGCCGCGGGAGGAGCCGCGGGCAGGTGCGCAGGGGCCGAGCCGCGCCCAGCGCTGCTGCCTCCCGGTGGGAACGCGCCGTCCTTCGGCCTCGCCCCGAGCAGCGGGGGCTGTGGCAGCCGGGCGGGGCTCGCTGGGTGCAGGGGCCGGGAGTGCCGCCTTCTCCCGGGCCGCGGGGCGTGGGGCGGCGCTGTCCGGGCTGCCGGCCGCTCGGCCAGGCGGGACTCGGGTGGGGGCTTCCGTTCAGGCGGCAGCGGGTTCGTGGCGCGGGCATCTCCAGGCGGCGGGGAGCGCTCCCCTTCCCTCGGCTGCGCTCGGTCTGTGCTGGTTTTGTGCTGGGTCTGCGCTCGGTCTGTGCCGCTTCGCCTCCCCGGGCCGGCAGTCCGTGGTGTGACAGCGCGCTTTCCTAGCGCTCTTTAAAGGGAGTGCCATTTGAAAATGCTGACTGTAGGTTATTTATTTATTTATTTATTTATTTATTTATTAGCTAACTTAGTGCTAACAGGCGACATGAAGGAATACACACACTGACTCCGGCATACGTATTGCTAAGATGTGAGGTTAGATGTATGAGGCTTGCAACATTTTGCATCCCTTTCTGTGCTTAGCTGTGCTATGCAAACATTTGCAAGTATTCTTTATTTTGAATTGGCACATAGTCACGTTACTAACGCTGAATATTGTATCCTTATTGTCAAACTTACTGTAAAAGCATTTGTAGTTGTCTCATTTGCTGTAGGACCACTTGTGCATTTTCTTTGCTGACTTGATTTTACTTAAAAACAGTAAAATTAAGCTCTCTTTCACCTAGCCCTTTCATCCAGTTTTTCTTACCTGTGTTCTGAATCTTTGTGAAGTTCTAAACTTACAGGGTTTCCACCTTTTGTTGTTGACCGTCTTGTCTGTATTTGAGTTAGTTACATAGCACAACTTTTTGTAGCATTTTTGTCTTTAAATGATCCACCAATTTATTAACAGTGTAACAGTTTTGAAAAACAAATTATAATGCCTATGTTTTACAGTTTTCTTTATCATTTATAGTAATCCTACTAAATGCTTTAATAAATCTTTACTTTGAATGATATAGTGGTGTGTAGAAAGTTTGAATCATAGAATGGTCTGTATACTTACATACTGTTAAGTCATAGCATGCCAATATTTAGCTGTTGAGTTGAAAAAATGAAAGAGAAATATTGGCTTGCTGCTTTTCTTGCTTTTTTCAGTCTTGCAAGTGGTTTTGTAGCTGCAAAAATCTTATGGCAAGATCAAATACTCACATCTTCAGTGCCTAAGGCTTCTTTCAAAGTAGTTCCTTCACAGAGCATCAGACCTACCTTAGAAATGGATGGTGTCATCATATCATGGTTCTATCTGTTTTAAATCAATCACTTTAGTATTGAGAATGTGTTAAGTGAAAGAAAACTAGAAATAGGAATGTGGGTTTTTTCAATTATTATTGACTCAGGCTTCTGGTGAGCTGGTTCTGGCAATAAGCTAGGGTAATTTCTTTGCAGATGGCTTTTGGAAAAAAGCTGCTATCTAAAAAAAAATTAAAAAAACCAAAACAACACCTAAACAAAACAAAAGCCAAAGAGTGACGTGATTTCTGTTGATCAGTGTTTCAGCCATGTCTGACAAAAGCGAGCTGAAGGCGGAGTTGGAGCGCAAGAAGCAGCGATTAGCTCAAATCAGAGAGGAGAAGAAGAGAAAGGAGGAAGAAAGAAAGAAGAAAGAAGTAAGAAATAATTTTCACTTTGACTTGCATGTGTTACTTGCCCAAAATTGAAAGAGTAGGTTCACATAATCTATCAGTCATTTTCTGTGTCCTGTTCAGGAAGTGTCTATTTAATGGTTGGTGCTAATTATAAACATAGCACTTTCATTTTCTAATAATGCAAACACCTACTGTTTTCTTTTCAACTGTCTGTATGATAAGCTGGATTTTTAAAAAAAAATTAAAAATTAGTATCTTGCACTAGCATAAAGTTCAGATTTCTAGAACTGTCTCTGTGCATGTGACATCATGAATCACATCACTCTGATCCATTGCCTGAAAGCTCTGCTTAATGAGTTGTGATAGGTGTAGTGTAAAGAGCTCATTTCTGAAGTATGGTTCTGAAGATGTCTGTAGGAATTATCTGACTGTCAGTATTATCATTGTACAATGTTCTGCTCTTTGGCCTGTCTACAGGCTGAATTTTTAAATGAGCAGCACTCAGGATGTATGTGGTGCTTGTGTGTTACATTTAGTTTGTTAACAGTCTTCTGGATTTCTGGCTGCTGGAGTATGTGACAATCAGTGACAGATTACTGTTTCTCCTGAATGCAAATTGTATCTCATAAAAGAAACTTTTACTGGTATGTTTTGGGTACTTTTTCATTACTTCTCTGTGTTTTGGTTTTGATCTAGTTGGTGTTCTAAATCAGCATATGACTGAAGGCTGCGCAGCTGCCAGCCACATGATTCAGACAAAAAGGAGAAAGAAATAGCTCAAATTATGTCCTAATGACCTTGGAGCAGTGTATTGCCAGAACTGCTTTTTTAAAAAAGCAGCTAACTAAGAGTAGAAGGATACAGAGTGTTCAGCATCTTTTGCAATAGAGCTTGCCCTATTTTAAATAAAAGAGGGTGGGGGTGTATTTTTTTACACCTATCCTGTTAAATCTAGCAGATAACACAAAGAAAACTACTTTTCTTTGACACAGTTATTGTAATTTTAAAATAGGAACCACATGACTATTTCTAAAATACTTTTACACCCAGGTACAGGATGTTTTTGTCATTATTTGCATTTTACAGTGCTTAGGATTGGTGTAAAAAAAGGTACTCAATTTTATGAAGTGTTACTTGTTTTGGCAAATACACAGACACTTTTTGCATGTTTATATATGTCCTTTGAAGACAGTACCAAAGCTTTGGAACATTGTTATTGCTCTCTGTTTATTTTATCTACAAAAAGAACCATTGGAATTATTGAAATTGAATATCTAATATACTTGATAGGTTTCTGTATTACCACCCTGTGTGGTATCAAAATAAATCAAAGGTTAAAAGCTGTAACTTAATTATTAAATAATTTTTAGACTGACCAGAAGAAAGATGTTCTTCCAGTACAAGAAGAATCTGATCTTGAAAAGAAGAGAAGAGAAGCGGAAGCATTGCTCCAGAGCATGGGGTTGACACCCGAGTCTCCTGTTGGTAGGAATGTTACTGTTTGTTTGAAGTAAATGTTTGGGAGATTTTTGTTTAGTCTGTTTTATAGGTGAAGTGGTTTTTGGGGCCTTGTGTTATTTTGGGGTTTTTTTGTGGTGGTGTTTTTTTGGGTTTGGTTTTTGGTTTGGTTTTTTTTTTTTTTGGTTAAGATTGAGGTATTTATGTAACTAACATAATAATTCTCTGGACACTTTGTTGGGGGTTATATATGTCTGGGTTTTATACTCTTTTGTCATTCATGTTCTGTTATAAATGTCAAATGATTTGCTTCAGTACATATTACATAACATTATTTTGTAAAATAACACCATTTACACTTAGTGGATTATGTGAAGTATATTAGTTAAAATATCATGTATGCATTTTCTTTTTCCCTCCTGTTTTTCATGCTCATTATTCTCCTGTATTTTTTTCCTTACTCTTTTCCACAATGCCAAATTTTAATGCTGATATTTTTGTGTGGAGTTGGCTTGTTTCCTCTCCACATCTGTTACACCCTAGTTTTTCTTATCTCAAATACCTGATTGATTTTGATGGAGCAATAGCAACACTAAGTATAAAAATTAGCTTCCAAGGGTGATGATTGGTGCCTGTGCAGCTCTTGGATGTGTTAGCATATTGGCTCTTGCTTTTTGCCTTAGGCACATCCCTATGGAAGATGAAAGCAAGGAACATGATAATGCAACTCTGCTTTTTGTCTCCAACTCTGAAATCAAAGGGGTTTAAGCTTATCACTTTGGCTTCTTGGTGAGGCTCTATTCAACTGGGTTTGTAAATAAAATAGTAATAATTTCTTACAGATATAGCTGCGATTATACTTTTATAATTGCTTTTGTGGAATACTCAAGTGTTCAAAAGCGAACAGCATTATAGCTGCTCAGATTCCTGCAGCCCCAGCAGTCATTTTTGGTAATTCAAACTGGTAATTTACCAGTAAATTACCATTTTGGTAATTTAATAGTTGAGAGACTCTATTTGGCTGTGTTAGTACCAGTGTGCAGCTGTTTAAGAAATCATTTCTGGCCTGCTACAGATTTTCTTTGCTAGACTAACAGTTGAACACTTCCCTTGCATGATACTGTGCTAAGGCAGTTGATGAAATTTTTGTAGGAATGTATGTGGTTGTTGGGTTTTTTTCACAGCTGGCAGCGAATCTGAAAGCCACAGAATGGCCATTGCTCAAAGCAGGTTAATGTATATGCTCAGAGTAGGTGTTAATCAAAAACTGAGAGGTGCTGACATGCAAGAGTGGGGCACACCCCTGCATGTTGTGTTTAATTCCACTGAGCTGCTACTTAATCACACCCTTCAGTGTGTGCAGGGCATTCAGTCTGTCTCCTTTCAAGATAACCAGGTCTGATATGGATCCTTGAGTTAAAATGTCCTACTTGCTGCCTGCAGTTGGCATGCCAAGGGCTCAAGCTCCTTTTCTGCTGACTGGATGGCAGCAGGTACAGGGATTGTATGCCTGAACTGATGCTAACTCGTGGCTGAGCTGATTGGTGTGCAGCTGAGGTAGCTTGTGCTCACACTGTCAGTGGAGGGGCGTTGCTTGACATTAGATTATTTCCTAGAAAATTGTGTTAATTCCTGAGGCAATTCCTGTGCTGTTAACTGCTCGAGAGTGAACTGTATCAGTGTTAGTATGTTTTGATATCTACCATATCATATCTACCATACTTACTGTAAAAAAGCCTTCGGTTAGTGAACCTGAATAATTTTCAAAAAGATTTTACAGCTGAATCCTCTGGGGTAGGTGAAATTCCATCTGCTCTTTTCGTGAGACTGTTGGTCCTTCAGTGGGACTGCCCTCGGTTTGGGGCAGGGTTTCCCGAGTCGCTGTCCCCACAAGAGAGCGCTGCAGCCCCAGCGCTGAGCCCTGCGAGAGGCTCACCCTGCCCTGAAAATGCACACAGATGGCAAAGCAAAGGCCTGCGGGCAGCTCCTCTGCTGGAGATTAACCGGTACCTGCAGGGATGGGTTGAAGAATTTATATATTCTTACATACCCCCAGTTATATAAGTCTAAATGTGTGTGTGTGAATTTATGAAATACAACTCAAGACCTAGAGAAAAGGTCTCTCCACTAGGAGGAATGAAATTTTAATAAATTGAAGAGTTCACTGTTACTTTGGTGAAATTAGGGGAGAATTTTTGTAAATCAGAACCATGTCTTTGTTTTGAGATGAAGTGGAGAAATTCTTTAGCATTCACAATATACTTGTGATTTCAAGAAATTCTGTAGAAACCTTGCAGACCTAAATTCACAGTTCTCCCATGCTTAACTGTTGACAGAGTAGGCAGCAGTTTACATAAATAATTTGTGTTCATTTGATTAAAGGGGTTTTTAAGGGTTGCTAAGCACTAAATGCTTTACATATTGCTGAAAAATGAAGCATATAAGGACCTCCAAAACATCACTAATTCTTCTGATTAAACCCTAAGTTTCATTAAAAAATGATAATTTCTAAAAAACAAATTTGAAAGAAATACTTAAGTAGCTTTGTATTTGTATCAGATTGCATGATATAATTCACTATATATCACTTCCAGAAAGAGTGTTACTTTTCAAGTGGTAAGTGCAGTCTTCATCTGCTAGCAGGAAAAGAATTGACACTTGAGAAGTTTAAATACAGTGGTACTAGACTGCTTACTGTCAAGCAAAAAAAAAAGAGTCATTCTCAAGACCTAACACTAGAAACTTTGTAATACACAAGATTTATGTTGATTTGATTCAACTCAGAACAAAAATAACAGAATGCTGTATGACACAGCCACTTTTCTGGTCCACAATTTGGTGATTATATATTTTGAAATAACATTGCCAGTTAAACACATTCATTGTCTAATCTTTAAGAAAGACTAATGTCAGAGCTGTATTAGCAACTATCTTTCCTATGTTTAAGCAACATGAGTCAGTGGAAATTACCCTTTGAAAATCAGTGTCATCATTTGTCAAAAGTTCAGTTTAAAAATATTTTTTCAACTCATTTTCTTCCCCTCCATGTCTTTTTGTATGCTCCAGATGCATAAATGCCAAACAATTGCATGAAAATCCAGCATGAATTGTTAACATTGTCTTTTCCCCTCTCTTTCTACTGTTCATTTTCATCCATGTTTTTTTTGTTTGCCATCACTTTTTTTTTAATACTTCATTTTTAATTAATTTGCAAACATCCTAAGCTGTGCACCCTCTGCGAGTAGTAACAGCGGATACCTGTCTGTTTCACTATTTAGTCCCTCCTCCTACCTCTCCGTCCTCCAAATCCGTGAGTACGCCAAGCGAGGCTGGGAGCCAGGACTCGGGGGATGGTGCTGTTGGATCCAGGTATGTCACTTTCCTTGTCGTGTTCCTTTGCTCAGTACCTGTGTTCTGAGTAATTAAGCTTTAGAAGAAAATCATGGTTAATTATTTGGTTATAATACTATGAGGTTACAGTGTTGAATCTGTCAAAAACTGTTTTGCAGAAGTACTTTGCTTTAAAATTTGAAATGCAACTACACTTCTTGATTTGAAGTTGCCAGCATTAATGTGAAGTTGTTTAAACTTGCAAGTTTGAAGTAAAATGAGTGTCTTGGGACAATAACAAACTCAGAAAGTCTAACTTCTGCTCTCTTAACAGTTTTTTTAAAAGAGGATGGGTATGGATGATAGATTATTTGCTTTTTCCCATACCTAGTTGATCTAATAAAAGGTACTGTCTACAAACTTTGCATTACTTCTGATTTATTTTTCCCTTACTCAGAACCATATTTCTCATTGTTTTACTTCATCTGTGTAGTGCAACTTCAGCCCATGCAATCTTTTATTTTATCAAAACAACTTCATCTTAGTACAGCCACTGTTGTTTTGGTCTTTTTTCAGTGCCAGTACTTGTCATATTTGTTTGACCATTTCTTTGAGCGTGGTGGTTTGAGACGTGCTGCTCTAAAGAAGAGTCAGATAAATATTTCTCTTAAACATTTTAAGTGGTGATATAACAGTGATAAGGCAGGAAAACACTACTTCCAAAGGGTATTTCTACTGTTTCCCATGCAGAGTCTGCAAATAGGAGCAGTAGCTGCCTATTAATATTGGTAAGATATTCTCAGCAACTGAAGTTTATGTACTTGAAATTTAGGAAGTATACATGGTGGCTGAAGTTTAGTTAAAGCACAGTAACTGCAGCAGTTATCAGTCACTGTTGTTGTATGAGTAGTAGTTTTTGAAAAGGAGTCAAAGGTTGGACTACTTTGAAATATCTTATAAAAAGACTGCAGTAACATCTTGTATGCATATGGATTATGCATAACTATATGCATCTTAATCTGAAAATATTCAAGAGACTAATGACCTGAACAAAGGTTACATGGTGCCTACTTCTAAATAGAAATCGTTCAGTTAAAACAGAGAATACATCAGGCAGCAGATGTGAACCCAAACTTTTTGTTAAGAGTGCTCAGGTATGATCTTGTTTGCCTGTTGTGTTAATTAACCAATATAATCATTCCTTAATTGAGTGGCAAGGAAATTTTAATTATCTTAAATTGTTGTTTATTGCTTATTAAATTGTCTTCAAAAAATATGTTTTTATATGTATTTATGTTCAGTAGAAGAAAAAAAACCAAGTATTTGATGATGACGTTTTAAAAGAAAATATGTTCTTTCCATTCACACCTAATTTAAATTCAATATGAAACCATATGCATAGGCCACATACCTGGAATGGAATGCCACGTTGTGTACTGCATTTATTTCTACCTCATTGTGTACTGCACTCTGATTGTGTGTTCTCAAACATAGTAATGCAATAGTGTATGTATGCATTTTCTTATGAAGCCTTAAGAAAACCCATATCCTGAGTCTCAAAAGCTTCATGCGTTTTCAAACTTTAAAACAAAATCTGTTTTAGGATTGTGATCTTTATGGCATGGAGGTGTGAATGTACAACTAAATTGAAGGCATTATGGAGTCCCTGTTGGAGTCCCCTTGCTTTTTCTCCCACCAGTGGATTCTTCCCTTCCCCCAGTAATGGGTGTCCACATCCTGGTTTATTAGTACACCTTCATTCCTTTTGAACATGAAAGTTGGACTGTATTGTATCCCTTGGTGTTACACGTGGCATTTCATAGGTGACTCCTACTGATATGAGATATATTTATAATGTATCTCATCACCTCTTCAGTGATGCTGAATCTTGTCAGTAACTCTTTTAGTAAGTAGTAAAGCAGTGTTCAGACTGTGCTCCTGTTATTACTTCCATCTGTCTTGCTTTATTGTCATTAGTAAAGAGTTTTGTTTCCTAGTTTGATTCTGGTTCTTTCTCTTTTTTCCTCAGTCAAGAGTGCAAGTCCTGCAGTCAAAAAAATACAGCTGGTTTACTTTTAGGCTGGTGAATGCTTCATAGAATTAGTTTGAAAACAGAAAATATTTTTAGCTATATCAGAATTGTTAGGAAAGTACCTGAATACAGAGAAACCTGGACATTTGTGGAAGAACGGGAAATTTGTTCACTGAAGCTTGTAGATAAATTCATTTGACTGAAGGCAAAACAAACTGGAAAACAAAAACAGTGTTTTGCATCATTTTGGTACATATATGAAAAGGTGGATTTCACCTTAGAATGTTACCTTTATTTTAAAAGAGTATCTCGGAGAAGTAGTTAACTATCTCCTGTACTACTTGTTAGTTTCAACTATTTTAAAGGACTCTCCCTGGTCCCAGTGAAGCAGCTTTTGAAAATTAAAATAATGCTTTGAAAGCAGGAAAGCTACCTCATTAAGGGCTAAATCTTAAACAGGTGCAGAAGTTGGAGCATTTTATGTTTATAGCCTTTCCCCCAAGTTCCTCTCAAAAACGATTGAAAAGTTGAGAAAATATTGGACAGGTATTGTGATGATGCAGCATCTGTATCTGAAGCTAAGGTATTCTTTGCAACATGAAGGTTGGGATGGTGTTTTGGTTTTGCTCATGGTTGTACAACATATAAGCAAGCTTATATGTTTCAAGTTTCAGCTTCAAGTTTCATGGACCAAATTAAACGCTTAAGCTTAAATCTCTTTGGTCAAAAAAGATAGTAGAGATCTAAGGAATAAGTATGCTGCAAGTAATTAACTTTAGGCTAAAATGATGTGTTCTCTAATGCACAAAAGATATGAAAAGATTTTGGAGATTTGGGTATTAATCTGCTGCTGGGGATGCAGTTGACTGGCTGTATATGAAGATGGTGGATTTGTAATTCCTAATTAAGTTATGATTAATAGTCCTAATGCACACTTTCCACTAGAACAAGGTAGTGCTTGGCACACCCATATATATGAGCTTTTACAGCATTGTGTACATATTTTTCAGATCAACGTTAACTTTAGGAATTCTGCACCTAGTTAATAGAAAATTACCATGTATGGGACGAAAACGTAAAGTTATCTTTTATTGACTTATCATAGTAAAATATTGCATATTCTTTATTTTTTTTTTATTCAGAAACATTATTTTAAAAAATGCAGATAATATATGAGAATGTCAGAAAAAACCAAGCAGGTTAATCTGTTAATCTCTTACAAGTGTGTTTCTAAAATTCTGCCTAAACCTGATAGCCAGTAGACTACATGAAAATTTCAGAAGAGGGGATGAAGGCTAGAAATGAAGGTAGAGGGAATATTGATTTCCCCCTTGCTATTTCTTCTAGTACAACTTGAAATGGATCCATTCTGTTTGTTATTCCACATGACTTTGAAACATATTATTAATATAAAGCCCACAATTTATAAGAGATTTTAAGTGTCTTAGATGGAGTTGGCTCTAACTCGGATGACACTTACAAGCCCAAGGCAGCGCTTAACCCATAATTACTGCAATGTCACATCTTGGAAACTCTAGCAGTTCTTTATCCCAGTGGAAATGCTTTTTTTGCCCCACTACCAAAAGGCTTATGTGTTTGACTCATTTCCTTTACCAATATGACAGTTTCCTCCACATATTTACTGCTCTGGGCAAGTTTACATTATGTTAACAAATCTGTCTTCATATTACTTGAACAAACCTGAACATATTTTAAAAGAAATTTCAAGTTTTGAGTGGTTCTTATCAGTATTTAAAATACTTTTATTTGCCTTTCATTAAGGCAGCATTTGTTTGCAGACCTTTAATTTTCAACCTTTAAAATAATTTAGTTCTTTGCTAATAGCTCTGAATTCTGTTTGCTTCTTAACTTTTGTATTTACTGCATGTGTTATTGCACTGAATGTTTGCTGAATTTCTCTTAACTGATGTTGCATTGCCTTGTTTCTTGTGAACAATAAAATAACTATAAGCTTGCTGTAACTCTAGAATTTCATAGTGTATATTTGCTTCACTAATCTCTGGCCTTTTTTGCTAATGCTGCATGATTGTTCAACCTGGGGTACCAGGACGCTGCATTGGGATACTGATCCATCAGTTCTTCAGCTCCACTCTGATTCCGATCTGGGGTATTGCATAGATTTCTTATATTCCCTCTTTCATGTGCTTATGGATAATAAGTATGAGCATTTTTTCCTTTAAGACTTGTTGTTGTTGTTAAGAAACTATTTTGTAAGTAATAGAAATTTGCTGTCCCTAGACTTAGCATGGTTTGCTTGCACTGGGAAAATTTTTATATAATTTAATATACAGTAGATGCTTATTTCCAATAAACACAAGTTTTGTTTTCTTTGAGTCTTTCTTTGAGAAAATATAAACTTTAAGAAGTCATTTATTTGAAATAAAAAGGTTAGCATGGCTGTATTTAAAAACAGAGCAACTCCCATCTTTTCTTACCAATACGTTTATAAAAACTGTAGCTCATTATAAGCACCAACTAAAATCTGTATTGTGTGCTAAGAATTATGATTCTGCCCACCAAAACCTTTTAAAAGGAGTTACTCTTCTGCTTTTATCTTGGGAGAGGAGTGGATAATAAGAAACTAAATCTGATATAGGTAAATTGTTGGATCCTTGCAGTATTATTACAGTACATACTGCACTTAGGTTTTACAGAAGGCTACAATGCCTGAATTAATGTTGTGTAAGTTTTGGAATATATTATCTGTTGTATGATGCTAGCTATATTTACCTTCATTAAAGTCAGAAAGCTCAGAGCTTTTCAGTATTGTGCTCTGAAACGAAGTATAATGGCTGAATTATTTGTCAGTGTGAGTTCCAGGTCAGCCTGGCAGTTCTGCATTCTATATAGTATCTTAGAGGTGGACAAAAAAGGGCAGCAAAGTTAAAAGACTAGGAAATGCTTTTTCCTTCAGTATAACTAAGTTGGTTTTCAAGCTTTATAATCCTAGAACTGTTGCTGTACAAGCATGACTTCTGAGTAGATCTGTACCCCTGATGATAAAGATGTCATATATGTGGCAGTATTCTGGTCAAGCACAAAGAGCAAAAATTTTAAACTATAGGTTATATCCAGATATTTATATGTGCACATCTTCCTTTTCTCACAGATGTATATATAGTTGCTGCTTTTAAATAATGATGATAAAATAGTAGTCATAATTGTGTGACTTGTTCAAAGTTTTCACTGGATTTAAGTTTGATTAAGCAGTGCTGTGATATAATGATTTGAGTATTATTCTAAGCAAAATGTGAAATTATAAAATTAAATGTTTTTTTCTGATTTTTAGACGTGGACCTGTTAAACTTGGAATGGCTAAAATTACACAAGTTGACTTTCCTCCTCGAGAAATTGTTACCTACACAAAGGAGACACAAACACCTGTCATGACTCAGCCCAAGGAAGGTGAATGGTTAATTTTTTACTATAAAGTTATTTTTTGTCTGTTTTAATATAATAATGATGACTGGCTGAATTAGAACTAGCACTTGTGGTCTGGAAACTTAGTAAGGTAAATGAAGGTTGATGTACGAGATAGTTTATATGAATTCTATTACCGCATTTTTGTAGGTTTTGCGTAACTGTTACTGTCGCTCTGCATCTCTTGTAACATCACTCTTGCTACTAATATGTGGTACATTCACACTGCTAGTATATGTTCAGATTAACAGCAAGTTGCTTAATTAGCTGACAGCAGGTAAATAAATGGGATATATTTTGCATTTATGATGTTCAAGAATCCACACGTAACTTGGCACATGGAGGACAGGGAGGTGATTTGAGGCAACTGGCATGGCTTTAATGAGGGCAACTCCTGCCTGACCAACCTAGTGGCCTTCTACATGGAGTGGCTACAGCAGTTCTACAACAAAATCTCTTGGTTGTTTAATATGACTGACTTTGAGTATGTGTCTATGTTAGCAATTTTAGCAACTTCTACATTCATAATTTTGCATTTTCCTGCTCTTTGGTATGTGAACTTTTGGGTGTTTATGCAAGGTTATATCTTTCTAACTTCATTATTCAGTTAGCCAGAGGATATGATTTTTCTCTTAACTGTGTTTCTTTTCTATTCTTCATTTTATCTGTTGCCCTGCACAGGTAGGTGTTTGGCGTTTTCCTGCTTTCATTTCTCCCATGCCCTCAGCATTTCCTTTCTCTAATCCCTCAGGTCTTTTTCCTCCCCTCTGTCAGGTTCATGGAATCTGAAGACTTAGATCACAGTTTAGGTACTTGAAGAGTTCTACTTCTGCTGCCTGCTGACAGTAGAAATTGCTTGGGATTGTATGATATGAGTTTCACAGTAGATAGGCTGTAGTTGAGGTTTGCTGTAGTGGAGTGGAACAGTGGGCATCTCTATTTCTGCATTTACCAGAAAGTTGTCTCAATGATCCATTCCACCTTACAAATACTGATTTCTTGAAAGCCATCATAATTTTTAAAAATATATTTATTTCATATGCTTCACAAAATTTGCAGGTGTCTTTTCATCATTTCAGTGTTGGAGATCTTTTTAAGGTTTATCTTAAGACCTCCTGAATACATTAATAATAAAGCTCTATGTTCCCATTTTACAATGCTATCTGACATAGGTTTAAAAAGAAAGAATAAATCATGCTACATACGAAAAAGGAGTCACTAGGTTGGATATTTTTCTTGGTAAAAGAAAATCTTAAACTCTTTAAAACAACTGAGAAAAGAAATGTGCTGAATTTATGGGTGCAATTAGATAAATTTGAATTCTGTAAAAGATATCTTATTGATTCTTATTTCGTCTCACAGTCCGAGTTGTGCTTATCTGGGTGCATATACTGTAAACAAAAGTAACCTTGTGAAGTACACTTGCAAGTGGAGCTTGCAACTGAACTTACACCTGCAGTAGCTCCCTTATCCAGCAGCAAGTTCCATCTGAGCTAGGTTAGCTCAGTGCTCATAGCTTCATATAAAGTGAAGTGAACTGGACCCTTCATAATATGTTTTGAGATTTTAAAGTGCTGCTGGAGCTGTGCTTTTGAAAAAGGAAAATAGAAGCAGTTTTTTATTAGATATGCTCTGCTGTTATTCTGCTTGTTTAGGTCCACTTCTGCAAATGCCTGATTTGGTGGGGGAGGACAGCACATAAAATAAAACCAGCAAACCCACAGCAAAACACCAAATTAAATAGTTCTCTTTGTTCTGGTTCTGTGTGCTGCACTGGTTATGTAGTTACATTGTAAGCTAAATTAAGAAACATTCAAAGTACAGCCAGGCTGCCTGGTGGGACAGATAGGCAGTAGAAGTAAACTAGTTTTAGATTAAAACCATTCCTCGTTGTTCTGGAAATATTTGTGGCAATACATACCAAGTGAATTAAATAGGAGAGATTTCATGTCCTCAAATAAAACCAGGCATTTGGAAATGCTTGTTTTGGATTCACGTAACAGTTAAATTAATTTAGAAATGTGGCAGCTTCCTTAGGAGATGAAGGCATTTGGTGTTCTAACAGTTCTCAGAACTTCCATTATTTTTTTGCAATACTAATATGTTGATTTATTATGACCTCAAAGTATTTGAGAAACTGCCTTAGGAAAATTGATTCTTATATATTATAAAAGAATAAAATTGGGATCTCTCCTAGAAATCAGTCAATCCAAAGAAAGATGGGTGATAGGGGAATATGATTTTGTTCAGCTGTCACAGTTAAGGCTTTCCAGGACTACCTGAGTACTTGCTGCTTAGTGCTGCTATACAATACTGTGCATGTGGAATCACAGCTGGCTGCAGACAGTATTAGTGCATTAACTCCACTCTTTGAGGAATAATTGTCTGCTAATATCTCCAGGACAGAGAATTAAAATATTAAGCAGAGTAATAAAAATCAGATGTATAGGATTTGCTTCTTGGCTGTTGGTACAGTGAGTGCAGGATTTATGCATTTTAATATTTTTCAAAGAAATAATGGACCATTTTATATTCATGTATGATCGTTGTGGGTCCCTTCCCACTCAGAATATTCTGTGATTCTGCATTATCTAGTACATGCCTTAAATGTACAGAAGTACAGATAGGAAACTTGATGTGAAGACATTCGGCTTAACAAAAGCCACCCATTTCACAGGTGATTTAACTTTGATTAACCTACTCCACAGCAACAGATTACTCAGACAACTGCAACTACACTCTACAGTGTTATTGCTAGGTGCAGCCTAATTTACAGCACTGCTTTTCTTTCTGTCTTGCCAAAATACATCACAATTTTGATGTTAACTCAAAGTAAAAATTCGGTGCTTCATTAAATCTCTTTTTAGCATTCATTGGCAAGACATTTGTTGCTATTAAAGATTGCATAAAAATAGCAGCTACTTTGCTGCTCAGTTTGTAACCTTAGATCCCCTGATTGCCTGTCAAAAACAACAAGGAGTTAATCCCTTAGCATATTACAATGAATATTCATCAGTATGTTGATGTGACATAGAGTCCCATTTCCTGTCCTCGTGGCCCTGTGACTTTTCCAAGTTTTGCAGCCTTTTTTAAAACTGAAATCATATTTGGAATACTGACAATTGTGAAGTGGCTTAAAATGCCAGTAGGTACAGTCAATGGTGAATAAGGTGGATGCAGTTATGGAGTGCCCTTAAGGTTTCAAATTTAGGTAGCTGACTTGAGAGAAATTCAGTGCATGACAATATCATGGGTTCTTGACTTAGTAATCTGGAACTTTTTCAGAAATAGTATGCCCAATGTTTCGGTGTTTTCTGGGGAGTGTATTATTGTTATGCTAATTCCTTGCAAATTCTGGCATCTGTCCTGCTATTAAATAAATTCAAGATGAAAGAGAGACAGGAAAAGTAATTAAAACAAACATTTCTTACCTCATTTTTTTAGTCCAACACCTTAATGGTCCTTTTTTTGTGAATTGTGAGAAAGCATCCTGGGTTTGGAATAGAAAGAATTCTAGTTTTAGATACTGAGGTCAAGAACTTGTATATGTGGGAATTTTTTTTTTAGTTTTGTTTTTTTCCCCTCCAGATCCCTTAATAAAAAAGTTTGAATGTGCCTCTTCTTTAGAGAGAAGGTTTTAGATTTATGCAGTTACAGATAAATCAGTGAGATGACATGTTCAGTTTCAAGACTGATACTTTGAGAATATTAAAATAAATGCTGTATCCTGCATTTAAATGCAGTAGTATCAGCTGGCTGTATGCAGTGAAAGTACTATGAAGGAATTTAGAGCTCTGTATAATATATGCCATTTATGTTTCAAACATTAAAAGGCAGGAGCAATCAACTATATGATCTTTTGAATAAAATATGTAGATTAGAAGGTCATATAGCTCTAAGGGGTTGACCATCTACATTTGACAAGAATTTGACTCCTGTCACTGAAAATGGTACTTAGAATCAGTGTAGTATGACTAATGGGGGGTTGGGCTGAAATTTCTAATTTGGGACTTTCAAAGCTAGAATAATGTATACAGGGTGACCCAAAACCAAATTTCTACATTTGAAGGCATCATTTAATTCTGCAAGATTGATTGGCAGGGCAAAAAAGAGGGGGATTTTTATCCAAGTGGCCATAATTTGAATACATGATCCTGTATGTGTTGTTCTCAAAGTCACGTGTATTAACTCATATTGCATTTTTTAATTAATCAATGTTCACACCTCTAGTTATTTGACAGTAAGAGTTCTCTCTTTAAAATGGCCACAGGTTATACAGTTTTCAGGTTACCAGTCCGCAGTGCATGCGGATCCATCGAAAAAGGAGCAGTGTCTTTCTGTTTCTTTTCGTGATTATTTTGCCCAAAAAAGCTTTCATTTTTTTTAAGTAGCACAAAAGCTGTAATTGGCATGCTTTGTAAGGAAGTGTCAATGTGCAAGAGAGTGGAGATCACTAAGAATTCTTTTACGGGTTCTTTCCCCTTTGCACCACCGCCTCCTCAGCAGGGTCACTGAGATCACTAGCTTTTCTTGAAATGGCCATTTTCACTGGCAGGTGCATTATACCCTGTATTTTCAGATTGTTTTTCCATTCTGAATGTTTGGCAGGTTGATTGCTCTGGCTGCATTGACGGAGAAAGGGCTGACAAATGCGGTTGGGCTGGCTGAAAAGACAGTGATTACTGTTTTCCTTTGTGGCTGATTGAGGCCCTTGAAAGGAAAGATTTTAACCTTCACCATTTGGTTCAAAAGTATGAGCATATATTGAAATCATTCATGCCATTTATCCTAGTTCTGTAAACTTGTCAGAACATAAAAATCGCTCAATTTCAAGTAATGTAGGATTGGCATACGTCATTATCATTTTGATTAAGTTGGAGTTTGTATTATTGTGTGCATTATACAGTGTCATTTAAAGCTTTCTTTCCTGCAGGTACAGTTATATTTTTATTGCCTATACTATGGAGTTAGAAAGATTTTCAGACCTCTTTAAACCTATCACTATGTGTGTGGTTTGGCAGCTGGTATGGCCTACAAGCTGTATTTTGTTTGCAGGGTAAAGGCTTGTCTGTAGACCTCCTGGAGTGCTGGTAATTGCACAGGCTTGCCATTGGGGAAAGACATGATTGGAAGCAGTCAGGCAGAAAAATGTTGTGCCATCCCATTGCCACCTCATAGCAGAGAGACAATCCTTGCAGTACCATCTGGTTGTTGCTATCTAGTCAGCTGGCCTGGCTGCTGGGACCATGGCTTGGCAGCTGGTTACCATCCCCTGACCACCCCTTTTTTTTTTTTCACTCTTTTTGTGTGCATGCATGTGGATTTTGCTTTTTTTTTTACTTTTTGTGTTAGATAACTTTGAACATGGGTCAGGAAGATGGCTGCAACAAACAATCCTAGTCCCTGTTGAATACTGTCTCATTACTTGTGATGAGGCATGCAGCAGTTTCCTGCTGCCATTCCCTTATAAGCAGATAACGTAGCTGTTTAACCAATAAAAACAAGTGTCTTCAGAAGCTTATTCTAGAAAGTGGATGAAGAAAAGCCAGCATATCCCACAATTCTGAGTAATTTAAAGGTATTTTCTGGCTCACAGTATTCAAAGAATAAAATGTAGAAATGCAGAAAGTGATGTAAGCCTTGTCAGTATTCCTGAACATTAACATTTTATGTTATTCATTGCAATTAGGGAAAACACATTTTCTTGTAAAGTTTTCATTGCCAAACATGATACATATAATGAGACTTGCATCTAGAATGACAGAAAAAATGTAATCTCTCCGCTATTATCTTTAGCAAAATTTTCCTCTCAGAATAGCAACCTGAAAGCTAATGTAAGCCATCTTCATGCCATGTGCAGGCCCATTAGACTGATGCTTTCAGATCATAAGTAAGCAGCTGCTCTGTAGACTATTTTAGACATTTGATTTTTCTTTATTCCGCAGCATTAATGTGTCAGTGTGTTACACAGAACACACATCCACTGCATGGTTCTGTGTGGAATCATAAATGCCTGTAAGACAGATTTCCACTTTGGATTCTTTACAATTTCCTGCCTTTCTTATTTCAGTTTATGCAACTACATAACTCAGTGCAACTGATACCCAGGTGGAGACAGTGTTCCAATGATATTTTGGTTTATGATAATGTTATCCTTGGGACTGCATTTTACAAATGCAACCATTTTAAGCTACATGATACCATTTTACATCAGCTTATTTGAGATTCATATGGAATGTTACTGCTCCCCTTTAGAAACACTGATGGTCTCACCATAATGTTTCTCCTTAGATGAGGAGGAGGAAGATGATGTGGTTGCACCAAAACCATTAGTTGAACCTGAAGAAGAAAAAACATTAAAAAAAGAAGAGGAGGAAGAAGGTAAAGTTCATCTCAATTCAACATTCCGAGTGCTGTAAGGAAAGTCATCAATGCATTTTTTAACTTTTTGTTCTATTAATTTAAAATTAATTTTGTTGTTAAATAGTAATTAGCCAGCAAAACATAAAATACAGAAATTATTAAAAATCATGATAAATACTGTTTTTCTTTCTTGAGAATAATTGGTGAAAGCGTGCAGTCCAGAAAATGCCTGTATAAATTTTTTTCAGCTGCCCCTCATGAACTCACAGAGGAAGAAAAGCAACAAATTTTGCATTCTGAAGAATTTTTAAGTTTTTTTGACCACTCCACAAGGATTGTTGAAAGAGCCCTTTCTGAGCAAATCAACATTTTCTTTGACTACAGTGGAAGAGACTTAGAGGACAAAGAAGGGTAATGTGAACGTTAAATACTTTTCTGTGAATTTCCAATACTTTTAATTGAAAAAGTGATCTAAGATTAATATCTCCTAACTGTCTTTGCAGAGAGATTCAAGCAGGAGCAAAACTGTCCTTAAATAGGCAGTTTTTTGATGAGCGTTGGTCAAAGCATCGTGTTGTCAGTTGTCTGGACTGGTCATCTCAGGTAAAAACAATGCTTAAAGTAAACTTAAAGTTGACTTTTTAAGTTGTTATAGTTCTGTGCATTTGATTCCCATAAAAGCACAGTTGATACAGGCTGTATTTCTAAAGGTGCTCCTTATGTGCTCCATGGTTTGTAAAAAGTAGACAGAGCTGTTAATCTTTTGTGAAAGGCAGCAAAAGGTTCATATTGTGAAGAAAGTTGGTTTTGGTTTATGGACTGCTTTGTAGAGGTAACTCAGCTTCACTAAAAAGAAAGCTCACTTAAAAGAAATGGGTTTTAGAGTTAAGAGTTATGATGAGAGAACAAGACTAATGTGTATGTTAATGCTGATGTTGGAGCTAAATTAGCAACAATTGCAGTTTTAACTGACAATTTTTCATGCCTTTATGGTGCAAGGTGGTTTTTTAACCCTATTTTGGCAAAATAAATGAAAGATTCTAGGATTGTCTGGACCATTAGCCAGTCATCTTGCTTACTTTGAGTCTTTTTCACTTACCATGCAGTATCCAGAATTACTTGTAGCCTCTTACAACAACAATGAGGATGCACCTCATGAGCCTGATGGGGTGGCCCTTGTATGGAATATGAAGTACAAGAAAACTACCCCAGAGTATGTCTTTCACTGCCAGGTATGATTCTGCATTGGGAGGGATTTTATGTAGATGAATTTGGACAAGTACCTTTGTTATGTTTGTCAATATAATAATTTCATTGGGCTGGCATTTCCTTTAACCACATTTATTTGCCAACAGATGTTAATAGCTAGACACTTCAGCTGAGAAATATTATACTGTTCCAGAATTTCTGACATCAGTCAGAATTCAGTCTTGTTTGAGAACTCCTTTACTTTTTTGGTTTAAAAAACAGGAAAACTTTCTTGTGCAATGGTTGAACCACAAAGATTTGTACGTAAGAGGCTTGAATGGGATTGTATACTACAGCTAATTTTAGTGAATAAAATGAAGACAGTCTGAGGAAATGGAACAAGGATAAAAACTAGAAACATATGCATCAAGTAAAAGGCAGATGGAGGTTTTCTAGTAGTTTTCTGAGAGATAAAAACATGCAAATCTCTTCCATTATGCCAAGCCCAAGATATCCACGTTTTTCCTATCATTTTGGAAAATTACACAGTTGAATCAAAATTTAACCTCATTGTCACATTACTGTCAAAGCCCAGATTGCAAAACTAACTCTGTTATATCAAAATGTATTTCTACATTCTCGAAGAAGTAATGACTACAGAATGTGGCAAAACATTATTAAAATCTTGTGTGTTACTGGGCCTTCCTTTGCTAATAAACTATGCTAGGAGGAATACAGATGTATGCATATGAAAGAAAAGAGGAGGAAAACTTCATTTTATAATTATAAATTGAAACAAAAAGACTGTTGAGAGGTTACAAAGGGTGGTGAATCCTTAAGTAATTGGATGGTGAAATAATGTACTGAATAAATTTAGGCAAAGAAATTGTTGTGATATTTGGCCTCATTCCCTTTAGTTTCAGACAGTGTCACTGAATGATCGTTCGTGTATTTTGTTGTTTTCCTTCCTTTCAGTCTGCAGTGATGTCAGCCACATTTGCAAAATTTCATCCCAACCTGGTGGTTGGTGGCACATACTCGGGCCAGATAGTGCTGTGGGATAATCGCAGCAATAAGAGAACCCCAGTGCAGAGAACACCGCTGTCAGCTGCTGCTCACACGGTACGAGGCGAAACGTCTTCAAGGGCTGTGCCCTGTTCACGTGTGTTCAATGTCTAGGAAATGCTGTCCAGTGCACTTGATTGGCAGTGCTTGAATGTTTATGTCCATATTCTGACACTTAGGAACGAGGCTATTCATGAAAATCAGTGTGTCAGAAACAACAAGTATCAATTCTATAAAGTATAATTTGTACTTTTGATTGGGATCAATCTTTTCTGCTTTGTTAAATGGTGAAGTTGTATATGTTACAACTTCACCATTTAACCAAGTATAATAATACATAGTATTAATGTACAATAATTATACCAGAACTGGTTATTACTTCTAAATTATTTTCTGATAATATTTTCTTTCTTAGCACCCAGTGTACTGTGTAAATGTTGTTGGGACCCAGAATGCTCATAATTTGATTAGTATCTCAACTGATGGGAAAATATGCTCTTGGAGTTTGGATATGCTTTCCCAACCACAGGTAAGATAACTTCTGATAAATATATATATATATATATATATATAAATATAAAATGTCTATTCTAGATTAATATTTTATTAAAAATTCAGTTGATCTCATAAACATTAATCAACACTTTCCCAACACAGGTGGCTTGATACTTGATAAAATGTTTCCCCACCTGTAGAATAAAATATTTTCTGTTGTTTCTTTTGTATAGTTTTGGTGTACTTGTATTAGTGGTGAACACAAATGTAGTAAGAACCTCCTTATTCCTGCCCAATGTATCTAAGTAAAATAAAAAGAAAAGCCTTCTGCTTCTGTTGTGAAATCTAAAAAATTTTGTAGGTGTTAATATTTCTTTTTATGAAGTAAGTTGCTGATACTTTCACTACAGGATAGCATGGAGCTGGTTCACAAACAGTCCAAGGCTGTGGCTGTTACCTGCATGTCTTTCCCTATTGGAGATGTCAACAACTTCGTTGTTGGCAGTGAAGAAGGCTCAGTGTACACTGCATGCCGTCATGGCAGGTGAATACCAACTTTTAATTCTTCAAAGGAAATAAAAATAGTGAAAGGATGAGTTCCTGCATGCTTTACACTCAGTTTTAAGTTCATACTTTCTCCTTTGCACTGAAGGAGTTCAGAGTATCTCTGTCTGAATTCCAGTGCACTTTTTCCTGAGTAAGAGCTTCATTAAAAACAGAAATGGTTAGAATATTGAATTTGTGTTATGAATTGTTTGTGTTGATGAGGACAGCATAGGTCACTGTGATTTTATTCATTTGAATTGTAGCAGAACATTCCAAACTTCGTTTCAGTTTTGTAGATAATTGTACAGTAACATCACGCACAGATCTTCAATTGGCTGGCTGTTCTCCTGCTGTTCAATCTATTTTGAAATTGTCTGACTGTATCTTATCAATTGCTTTCTTAAATACAATTGAGTGTCCAGGTTTCATCTCAAATACACATCACCTTGCTGCACAGCTTTTTTTGGTTCCAAAATACCCAAAATTGTATCACTTTTGTGTAACATCCTTCCCATCTGTTTCCCTCCTTTTTCATCACCCCTGATAGGAGGCTATTAGGGATATATTGTTACTGGTTTATGTCTGAACCTCAAGCCCTTAAAGTATATGCAACTTCTCTTAATTGAATAGGAGTTTCATGCTTATTCCTGAGTCTGGATTTTATTCTTTGTATGAATTGAAGTTGTAGCTACTGCTTGGAGGACAACGTAGTTAAATGTGTGGTCTGGTAGCTGAATGAGTCTCATGTCCCTAGGATATGTTTTGGCACTTACAGTTAGTAGAAAACCAACATGTTTTACTGTTAGTTGAACTTAAGGTCTGTTTTCAAGCCTGTTCTTCTGTGATCCTGTTGTGGTGAAGCCTTTTGCAGTGAGGTAACATCCATATAAGGCAGCATAATCTTCTTGTGGCTGTATTTAAATTGCATTTCAGTGCTATCTCTGTCTGCAGATTTTGGTTTCCAAATCAATTAACCTTGGTTGTATATTCTGAAACAGCAAAGCTGGAATCAGTGAGATGTTTGAAGGACACCAGGGACCAATCACGGGTATCAACTGCCATGCAGCAGTTGGACCTGTAGACTTCTCACATCTTTTTGTCACCTCTTCTTTTGACTGGACAGTAAAGCTTTGGACAACGAAGGTAACTTAGATAGTTCAGTGGTCTTCTTCATAGCCCTTGACACAAGGTGGTGCTATAGTGTAAGCTACTTAAAGAAGTTCACAAGCCTCAAGTCAAATTGTGTGAAGTTCTGAGGTTCTTAGCTGCAGTTCTGCAAAGAGGAGACAGCTGATGAGCAGAACTAAGATTAACAGCATAAAACTTTGCTTTCAGCTTGCACATCATTTGTGTAGTTCTGATCCATTCTTTTCAACTTTTGCCCTTTCTTATCAACAATTATTACAATGTAATCAAATGTAAATCATGTTATAAAGTCAATTACTTCATATGTTCATAAGGCAAATGTTTTGCTACAATTTTGTGGAGGAATAAGGGACAGCACCAAAACTGATATCACTTAAACTTGATGAGGCTCACAATTGAAATATCTGTCATTTCCATTGCCAGAATTATTTTTCTCTGTTAGTCTGATGCCCTCAGGAATGCAAAGCAGAGGAAGCACAGTTAAAATCTCTGTGTAATAGTCACTGAATTATCACTGGCTTGATTTTCAAGATTCTTAAAGCATTAAATTTACAATTTAAAATTGGCTTGCCATTGATTGTTTTATAGTAGCAGCCAGAAAAATGGCTGCATGGTTTGGAAAGCATACCTTTAATAATAAAAAGCATTAGGTTTTGGCTGATTTGTGCAGTGGCATTTTTTAAGCAAGTCAAAATGCAAATTGCTTTTTACTTATTGCTGGTAATACTGTTGAAGTTCTGTATTTTGCTTTACCTGTTAGTTTTATAATTTCAAAATGTAGGGTTTGGGTATCGTATTGTTCTCTTTGCTTCTTTTCAGAATAACAAACCTCTCTACTCCTTTGAAGACAATTCTGATTATGTTTATGATGTGATGTGGTCTCCAACTCACCCTGCCTTGTTTGCCTGTGTGGATGGGATGGGCAGGCTTGACCTGTGGAATCTCAACAATGATACTGAGGTGAGAAGTCAGGTTAACTGTTAAATGCAGCTGGAAAAATGTTTGTACTCTTAAAAAAATAGTTGGGTATTTACCATAGTTTGTGGAGTTTTTTTTTACCATAGCTTGTTTTTTTGTTGTTGTTTTTAAATATTCTGTAGTTCCAGTAGTTGCTGTGTAGTAGATAGCATTCTTTGGTTACAGGGTTACAAATTACTCCTCTTAACGAATAACTGCAGTAATTAAATTGTTTTACCTATAACAAGAGAGCAAAACGTCTGTTGGTGTAACACTGATCCATGTTGTAAAAGTGATTATAGACCTCCCACCCTGAGACCGTCTCAGCCTGCAGTTCAACAGTGTGAACAAGCACACACCACCACTGCTCCTGTTGCCACAGTAATACTGCAGTGAAAGTGCCATTTGTTTCTAACTTTGTGAATTGAATGTTTCCTTTTCTGATGTGGGTTATAAACTTCACTATAGTGGAAACCTTTTCCAAGGTTTGCTGGAGGAAAATCGGAGGAGAAACCTGACAGATACTTAGTACTTAAATTTCACCATCTGAAAACCACATATAGAAGAAAGTTGTAGGATTATATGCCAGCCTGATGCATTTTTACTAATGTGTTTCAAATTGGTGCAGGTGCCCACTGCAAGCATCACTGTGGAGGGCAATCCTGCTCTGAACCGCGTGAGATGGACACATTCTGGGAGAGAGATTGCTGTGGGTGACTCAGAGGGACAAATAGTTATATATGACGTGGGAGAGGTATGTATGTCATGCATTGTGCAAAGTATATTGCAAGCACTTGAGTTTCTTTATTTAGCAGCTTGTTTTTCATTTTTTCTCCTGTCATTAGAGGAAGAATAATTAGGTTTAATTTGTATTTTTGAATTAGTATTTCCTAGTAGTGTTTTATTTAAGGTGTTCTAGCATAACTTTTTAGCATGCTGTCATCCAGTCAAAAAGAAAAAGCTTTACTGTTAGGCTGCTGAAATAAAAGTCAATGTTTTTTTTAATAGAAATTTTATCTTGTGTAACTGTGGCACATATGAATTCTGATCCTAGCTTGAGATGTAACAAGCAAAAAATTTTGCAGTGGAGCAACCTTGATTTTGTTCTTAGACAGAAGCAGTTGCTCTTGCATGTGTACTGCCATAGTACCTGGCTAATGGATGGGATGAGCATATAGCATTAGCATTCCCTTTGAAGGCAGTCTCTCAGGTGGAGATACATAGCACAAGCTTATAATAATATCATTTTATACTTCAGTGCAGGAGTCTCAAATTCTGCTTCTTTATTAGTTAGAGCTTTTGATGGTTACACTAAAATAAAGGTAAACTTATCTGGAAGGGGAACCTCTTCTGAACCTGTTTAAGCACTGTGCCATTCAGAATGAGCCCAGCTGTATTTCTCAGGAGGTGTCAGTAACTCTCTGTGTGTCACAGCAAATCGCCGTGCCCCGCGGGGACGAGTGGACTCGCTTTGGCCGAACGCTGGCGGAGATCAACGCCAACAGAGCGGACGCGGAGGAGGAGGCTGCGACCCGCATCCCGGCCTAGGAATCACTGGGAATCACTGGATGCCAACCCCAGGGTGGCACTGCTAATCCCAGCACAGGGAGGAATATATGGATTCAGCAATGGACTTTGAAATGTATTAAGATCACTGAAAATCAGATCTTGCATTGTTTTGTTTTATATATTAATTACAGGTACATTCTCGGATTTGTGTAACTTTTAATACAGTTAACTTTGCAGGGATCTTCTTTTGCTGAAACACTAACCTGGTATAAATTTGCTACTTGGCTTCTGAAAAGTCCAATCTGAAACAGTATCTTTCTGAAAAGGAAAAGTTTCACTCCTAAAACTTTCTGTATTACAGATTAACCTTCATTAGGCAGTAAATCTCTGAAGCATTCTTTACTTTGAGCTCTTCAAATTACCCATGATATGCATGCATATGTTCCAAGTTTCATTGTTTATATATAGATAAGCCTCAGACTCTGGTAGTGGGTAATATATGTGAATAAAAATTTGTCTGTAGTTACAAACTTATGTGACAATTAGACCTGAATTAATGAAATACATATTTAATACTATTTCTTTTTGTTTGAATTGGTGCATTAAAAGGTGAGACAGATTCATAAATAAATACTATAAGAGCACTTGTCAGCTGCCCTGACCTGTAATCTGTGTCCCTTCAATAGTTCAAAGCTTCTGGGAGCTGATCCTTTTGTTTTACTACACACACCACAGTCTTGTTTTCTACCCTCAGCCACCCCTTTCTGCAATGGCAATTGGCCAATAGCAAAAAGGCTCCTGTTCTCAAGTTTTTCTTTTCCAAAGGATAAGGAACTAGACTTTAACTTAATTTCGATACCATGATGATTTTCACTCTGTTAACTACAGACTTGCTACTAATTTTCTGTACTAAGTTCAAGATTTTTATTATTATGGATTTTTAACATTTTTATCGAAACAGGACTTCTTAATGGCTTGAAAGAGAATGGTTGTAATTTCTGTTAAAGGTTACTTTTTTTCACAGCACATTATAAAGTTTTCTATCACAGTGGGTTTCACGGGGGCTGGTTTTTTTTGTTTTAATAAATACTGTGAGTTTTACTAATTAGGCACTAAATCAGTTTTGTAGCCTTTAATTTAGGACTCTACATTAGTTCTTAATCTCTTACAAGCTTACTGTTTTGTCAGAAGAGCTGTTTTTATATGCTTAAAAATAGGAAATGGGTTTATATGACTCAATCAGTTTTGTGTCCAGGAGTATTGTCATTGTTTCTTTGTTGTCTAACTTTTCTGTTTAGTTTTGGGGTTTCTTTTCTCTTTGTCTTAGTGTTGTTATTATGAGCAGCTTGTGGAGACACAGCAGTAACAGCAATTCTTTCTTCAGAAAGTTTTCTTTTTTGGTGGGTCTGGAAGTGAAATGTGTTTGGGGCTTCCATTGGTGTCAGCATTTCAAGAGTTTGTGTCCCTCCCTTTTCTGCTCAGTATGCAGACATTTATCCTGTGTGTTCTCCTCAACCCTACAACAGCAGCTCTGTTCACATGAGAAGCATGTGAACTGTGAAGGAACAGGCACGTCATGAGATGGTTTGTACCTTTGGGCAGAAGAATTCTTAACAAGCAGAAGTTCTCTTGGTTTGATGGTTTTGAAGGGAGGGGGTGCTTGGGTTTTTAGTTGGTTGTTCTCAAGGGGTTTTTCAAGATTACTTCTCATTGAATAATACATTTCCCTCACACTTTTATTTTCAGAAGTCCAGTACGTAAGGTTTTCCTTTGTGTACATGCAGATCATATGGCACTAGTTTTGTGTAGTTTCAATTATTAAATTTAATACTACCCTATCTTTATTCCTGCTTGTGGTCCTCCCTCACAGAATAGCTGAGTACAGATTAGAAATGCAAAAGCCATACCTGCAATGTTAAGACCAAAAGTGATGCTAGATGCTGTAAATGAGGGTTCTGGAGATCAAACTGTCCAGTTTTGGAGCTGCAAGAAATAGAAAAGCTGTTGTGCATTGTCAGCTCTCCTAAGGCCTTGATCAAGGCAGTCAACAAAGCTGTGCCTAAGATTAAATGCAGGGGGTCCCCACCATTTTTTCTCTATTTAGAAAAGTGCAAGACAAAATTCATAGCTACAGGAGAGTTCCCAGAAGCCTGTCTCTATCCAGAAAACAGAACAAGAAATTCCTTAATTGCAACAAATAAAGAAGGATGCCTTCTCTTGGGTTTATCTATATTCATATTGCAGAATAGTGATCAAACTTCTAAGTTTGATCACTATCTAAGGTCAGTGTATTGTAACCTCTGGCTCACTAAATATTGTTTAGCACCAAAATAATTTTTAGCTTCTTTAGAGGCTAGAGCAGGAGAAAGGCTGCTCTGTGTAGTGTTCAGTTCTCAATGAGCCATTTCTTCATAAACTGACTTAATCCCTGATAGGCCTGCTGTCACCTAAATTTATATGGTTTGGATATGCTCTATTCCAGGATGTTTAACCCTGTAAGAAACATGTAAACCTTCAGCAAGCAAGGCTGGAAACCACCCATCTCCTCTCTGGCTGCAAGGATGGTGTGACTAACTTTCCTCCACGACAGCAGGAATCTCAGCTCCCCTATTTCCTCTGACATTTTTGCATTTCAGTATCATACCAGGGAAATAGTTCAACCTTTCACTTTCTGTTCTCCTTTTACTTCCACTCATCTGTAAATACAAACAATGAGTTTTGAATATAAAAATAATACAAAAGTAAGTAGATTTTCACCCCCCACAGAATAAGCTAATTTCAAGGTATTCAAAACACTCTAGAACGAAGGAGAATGCTTTCAATTTTTTTTTTGTAACAAGTTTTCTATTCAGGAAAAAAAGGCACTCTGAGCAGTAAACCCTGTAAAAATTCTTGAGTGTGCTAGTAAGTGGCAAGTCTCTCATTGTGTTTTGAATATGCTACCATAGGAGTAGTATCTATTACACATTTAGTATTGCCATGAATTTTGAGAGAATTGCTTGTCACAAAGTAGTGCTTCAAAATAAAATACGGCATGTGCTCATCTAATTACTGTGTTCTCTAACACTTACAAGCCAACACACTGCATTTCAACTCCTGTGCTGTAACTAGCAGTGAAGGGCATTCCTCTGTCCTGTCCTGTCCATTCATTAAATGGGTGCATCTGATCTTCACATTTCCTCTGTGGAGGGAAAAACAATCATACCAGACAACTTCCTAGAAATTCAGAGAAGCGAACTGACGCAAGCATTTTTAAACATTTTATTGTCACGATGTTAACAAAACACCTTCAAAACATCTGTACATTTCAAACTATTTTAAACTGCAATACCCATTATATAAATGTACGTGTATAGATGCCCTGATGTCTCTGTACAAAGATGTACAATATGTACAGTAACATTAAATGCAAGCTGTGCAAGGCAAAGTCTAGGCTACAGTTTCATGCCACTGGTTAGAACAAGGCAGAGAACCACAGCTTCAATCAGTTCCTTGTGTGCAAATAAATAAATGCAGGTATGTATGAATATTTGAAAGGAGCAATTATATTTGCAAGCTCAGTTCAGCTAGAACACATGCAGCTGACTGGAAAATAATACAGCAGTACTCTTGTGAATTCTTTCCACTGCATCACTTTGTTCATTTGAAACCTCTTTTCAGGACTCAGCTACTAACTGTGTGCTTGAGCTGAGGTGGTGGCAGAAGGTCGAAACTTTGGAAGATACAAACCAAATTTATTTTCTATACCAGCAAACGTAGCTGTAGCAAGTCTGTATCCTCCTATATGTGCAGGGTTAACAGGAGGAAGATCTGAAATTCGTGTTTTTGGGGTAGATTCTGATCCAGCGGGTTTGCTGTTTGAACAAAGAAAAAAGGTCATTTTATTAGTTTAGATTTCATAAGAAAGAACTTTAAATAGTCTTATTCAGGCTTAAATACTTAAGTCTTTTGTCTGAATATGGAAGACTGTTAAAGCTGACCTTGATTAATTGACTCCTATGGTGAAGTGAATGAGGTCAGACCACTACTTAATTTTAAATCAAACCCGAAACTGAAGTTACATTTTTACAGATACTTTTGTAAATTCTTTCAGCTTCCAGTGTTACGAGGAAAATGGACAAAACTATCTTGCTACAATGGAACTACACATTACTGTACTGAAATAAATATTAAATGGCTCTTATCTCCTCATCTGTCTAGAAGTGGCATGCAAGTTTCCCTCATATATAAAGGAGCAATTTTAAGTACAGGTGCTCAAGTTTTAATGGGTCCTATGCATGAAAAAGTTTGGGTTTTTTTCTTTACATTTGGCAGTTGTTTTGTGCAAGTTAAATAGCAAATACTTGACTTACAGGCCTCCAAAATCAACATACAACCATCTCTGCAGAAGCTCATAAGTGACCAAAGTAACACCAAACTGGGGTGAAGATCTGAACACACGAGCTGTTAAATATTAGAAATCATAGTGTTAAACAAATAGAACAATCCCTCAGGAGAGAAGCTAAACATTTTTAACAAGATATGTTTTTCACAATCAGACCCTGGAAATACTGCTCTGAGTCCTTAACAAAGCAAGTGCTAATTTGCAGATTTGGGGTCAGCCTTAAAAATTTTTGTTCTCACCTCCAGCTCCCTTCCACAAAGCTGAGGGGCCTTCTTCCCTTAGAATCTTTCTGAAGCAGTCAATAACTCCACTGTATGTTGTCTGACCAGCGCGAGCTGCCACTTGCAGTCTTGTCTTGATGACATCAGCAGGGGTTACCAAAGAAGCAGCAGGCACACCTTTTAGAAGAAAACCACATTTAATTTGCACAAAGGATCTTGTAAAAGATGAAACACAAGTGAAAAATACAAGTGCAAACTTTCATATTTTTTACAAGGGCTAGACATTACAAAAAAATGCAGCTTCTTACTCTTGATGCTCGTATAAACTGTCGTGCCTGAGATAATCATTCTGACTTTCTTCTAAATTTAAAGGGTGAAACTGGTAGTAAAGGAAATAAACTATCAAAACCCATTCTCAGCATCTTCTAGTGGTCTGGATGTAGCAATAGTTTGAAACAAGATAAAATTGGCTGTACATATGTAATAGATAAAAATTAGTTGTGCAAATTTACTGTATTTGTTTATACTCTACAATGTCTTTGCAAATTACATAGATAATTGATTTGGAAATTGAATCCTATGCCTCCATTTGTTAAAGGTGTTGATGAGAAAAACCACTGCTTAAAGCCCCTATTCCATAGAAATATGTCTAAACTGCAGTTTGGACTGTTCTGTAGGAGAATAGATGCTGCTTACTTCAGTAGGCAAGCCATAAAAAGACTGAGGACAATGAAGGTGTTTTACAAGTCTGCTTAGTACCAACAGCGTGATATTAGCCAACAGTGATGGAAGAACAAATCTCCACTTCCAAGGCACCACTCTCGGCTTTCTAGTCAAAGGAAAGGAGAAAGTTTTCAGAAATGTACTCCACAGTATATAACTGTGTTATCTGAGGTATTTCTGAATACTTCTAAATACAATAAAAACTTAATCCCCCTAAAAAGAGGAACCATCTTCTGACTTAAAATCATGAAATTAATCTTGACTTCTGTTAAACTTTAATTGGTTAACACTGAATTAAAAATGTTAACAAGTAACAGATTGCATAGGTGCTGATAAACTGTGAAGTGTCACTGGTCAATCCAGGAAGTTTTAAACAAAAACCAGAAGCATTGCAGTTAAGCCTGCAAGCATACATAGAGAGCAATCATATGCAGATTTTCCTGACAGGCAGATCCCTTCAGACTGTATTCTTGCCTGCTGCGCACGTGTAACCAGGATTGAGTGAGCAATTGAGAATGTGAAATTTGCAATTCAGAGAGGCAGATTCCTATACATGCTATAAAACTAGGCCTATGAAATGTACATACATTTTTAATAGGGTTAATCCCTTAGTATGAGCAACATAGAAACACTAATGAAACAAAGAGAAACTGAAGTTTGCAGTCCAAAAAGTCTTACAGGAGATACAAATTAGTAATATATGAGTATTGTATGTGTGTAATAAGCTAAATAATTTTCCATTTCTGGCAGCTCTGCAATACTGAAGAATGAACAGGGCTACCAATCTGTTAGATGTTTCCTAGGTGGTTCCCCCTCCCTCTGGCACGAGGAACACACCGACTGACAGAGAGAAGGTGCAGCCAAGCCTGTGTGTCAAGTCCAATGTGGGAAACTGCTATTCACATACAGGTGCTCACAACTGATGTATATAGTGATATATAGTGACTCCTTACAACTGTAACAAGTAGCAAAGGGTTTTGCTCAGCCCAGTGGTGTTTCTGAACTGCAGATTCTGACAATCATTCACAGCACACAGTGAGGCTGTGTGCAATTGTGAAACCTGGTTTTCATCTGCTCTGCTTGTCCTTGGCAGTGCAGAATCTGACTATCTCTATCTGCATGTTTAAATATCCACCACTATAGTTCTTACATCTACTATTTTTATACCCTGTGCCTTTAGTAAAACCTTTTCATCACAGCTGCATATTGTCTTTATACTAAACTTGTCTGAGATACTGTAAAATATTTTAAATTTCAGAGTATGGTACTTCAGCTTCTTTACAAACTAATGCCCTATTTTCAGCAATTACATTAGAACAAAGTTTCTTTTCAGTTATTTCACAATCCAAACCTGGTAAGTAATTTTCTTCTTAGCTCTTACGATCTCTCATTTTATGTTCATCAAAGATTCAAATTAGCCTTCAACTCTGAGAGCTCAGTAACAAGTAAAACCCCATTGAGACAGACAGATCAAATTTGACTACAAGTTGCTGAGCTGCATTACGCTGTTTATCCACATTATGCAAATGTAATTAGCTCTCATCAAAATTACATCGCCTCCCACTAAGGATAACAGTGATCAAATTTAGATTAAATCAGATACAATGGTACAGTACCCTTCCTTTATATGGGGCTACTGAATGAATATTAAATATTACTCACTAAAAGAAAAGAAAATTACTTTTAGGAAACATTCTGCAATATTACCTGCAATGGCTCCAGCTGCAAGGAGATTAAGCCCTCCCACATGGCCACTTTCATCAGCAAACATCAGTTTACTATGAGCATAAACCGGAAAGTAGATTGCAGAAAAGGGAATGTCTCTGAGGAAACATGCTTTGGCACCCTGACACAGAGAAAAGAGACATAAAGCAAATAAATTCTGTAAATAAGGCTAAAATTGATATCCAGCAAGCAGCCTGAGCCCTGAAAGTACAAACTCATTTGATCTACCACATAAACAACACAGAAAATAAAATGTCTCAGGAAACAGAAGATACAGGGAATTTGAAAATAAGAATAAAGCATATCTAAACTAAGTGTCTGGAATGAGGAAGATTCAAGGTTCATGTATAATTTTGGTAAGTATTACATGACATCAATCCTGACATCAGTACTTAGGAGAAATACTTTTTACACACTATGTGTCCAAAGGCAATGAAAGAAGTGACAGAGATCAGTCTTTATGTCTTTCTGACAACTAGGGAAACAGCAGGACAGTCCCTGCCAGCCTTTATTCCACCAAACACAAAAGCACTACTAAAATACCAGTGAGCACTGTAAGACCTCACACTGATCATCATCTGTTTGACCAAACAAGCTGCACTGGAAGATTAGCAAAAAGAGAAAAAACACTGCAAATTGGGTGCAGTTTAATAAGGAAACACAGTGGTCACAAATCTCATCTACCAAATTCAAAACAAAATCTTCAGCTCTAAAAATGAATGTGCACATTTTTATAGCATTATTGCAGGTCTATGGGCAAATCACATAAAGGAATGTTTTGTAAGTGCACAGCTAATATAACTGCTGAATTTACGTATTACCCCTTGCACTGGCAGAAGATACAGGAAGAAACACTCTTCCTTGTTTAAGGAAACTAATAGCTTCTGCTCCATTACACCTGATCTGTAATGATGGCAGTAAAGTATACCTGCAGGGAAGGAATCTGTTGACTGGCATTTTGCTGAAGTACCATACAGAACAGGCTTTTTT